AACGTCACCAGAAGAGACCGCATAAGAAATGAAACCAGACATCTACGAGCTGGAATACCACCAGTAATAAAATGCATAGAGTGTCAAAGAGTCAAATGGTTTGGACATCTAACCACAATGCCCCGGAAACAATTAGCGGCTAGAGCTTACAACACCCGAGAATCCGGTTTCAAATCAAGAGGAAGACCAAGAAAGACCTGGCTGGATGGGGTTAAAAAGGTCCTGGAGCAACATATCTATCACAGACATGTCCTAGCACAGGACCAAAAGTTGCATCTCCCCTCGACATCCTAAGGATACCAGAGGAAGGAAAAAGTAAAAGTAAAGTAAGTCAAAGGAAATTAGAGATTGGTGACGGCGTCAAAGGAAACTAGAGATTGGTGTCGGTGTTTAAAGGAAAATAGAGATTGGTGTCGGCGTCAAAGGAAAATAGAGATTGGTGTCGGCGTCAAAGGAAAATAGAGATTGGTGACGGCGTCAAAGGAAAATGACGACGGTTTTAAAGGAAAATAGAAAGGAAACTAGAGATTGGTGTCGGTGTCAAAGGAAAATAGAGATAGTAGACGACGGTTTTAAAGGAAAATAGAAAGGAAAATAGAGATTGGTGACGGTGTCAAAGTCAAAGGAAAATAGAGATTGGTGACGGTGTCAAAGTCAAAGGAAAATAGAGATTGGTGACAGTGTTAAAGGAAAATAGAGAAAGGTGACGGAGTCAAAGGAAAATAGACATTAGTAACGGTGTCAAAGTCAAAGGAAAATAGAGACTGGTGACCGCGTCAAAGGAAAATAGAGATTGGCGACGATTTTGTTCCATAGACGCCACTAACTATGACTGTGAAACCCCGCGGAATTCACACGCCCACCAAAGAGGAAACATTACAAAAGCAATGTCATCACCACAGGTGAAAATTGACCATGAAAAAAACCCTGATAAAATCCTAAAACGTTCGGACCCCGTGGAGACGCTTTCACAGGGACTCCCAATGTACGGATCACTTTGTCAATACATCTTGTAACAAGACGCCAATTTTTGCGACAATCGGCCTCGGCCTAGAGTCGGGCAGAAAACGGGCAATTTCAGAAATCCGGATTTTCGTGTTAATCCGGTAAATCGGCGCATACATCGGTATTAATTGTTTGTAAATGACTAAACCAATAACTCCCCCATCCACATGACTTCGACAATACAGGAGGCAAGCTTTCTTCCACCCTGCCTGTCAGGTCCAACCTGGGAAGGGTGAAATCTGTCCCCGTGGTTTTAGATCTATGCACCCCGCACAATTTAGCAAAATTTGATCTTTTTTTTCTGATTATTTTACTTTATCATTCTTCGTTAAAGTAAACAGAATCGTTAGCGCTCATTTGACCTTATGCAGTTGCGAGCGCCGTAAAACCCTCTACTAAATTTTTTTACAAAAATAAAAACCCCCAACAGAATCGCATAATTTCACATTTTTGGGCTCAGTTTGCATAATTTCAGAATTTCTCTTGCCTAAAACGACGGGGACAGTGAACTATGATCGACAGTGAAGTACAGCATCCCAGCAGACACACTGACACACTCTTCTATAGTATAGATGTTAGTAATAAAGGACAGCATTTGCATAGCGCAAATTTCCGCTCAACAGCAAGCTCTATAGATGCGCTTTACAATCTACACAATGCATATTATTACCCCAGCAGACCTGATAGCATTCTGACACAATCTCAACTTCTTGGGAAGCAATCTGATCGATGCAAGCAGCCATTTAAAAAAAAAAAGTGCTATAACTCTAACATCTGACATAAATTCATATGTTATGTATGACTTCACACTGGAAAAAAAAAACCACCCCTTCCCTGCATGCTATGGTGACAAGAAGTCGTAACAAACACCTCAGACACTCCAACAATCTAACTTTTGCCAAATAAAAACAAGAGCACAATCTTGAAAAAGTTTTGATTACAAGAAGGAAATTAAGTATATAACAGTACATATAGACTCTATGTATCTCAAATACAAAGGGAAGAATATAAACAAATATTTCATGTGAAGGTGATATATACCAAAAAAATACGAAGTCCTAACATATTTTCATTCAAACATTTTAAAAGTTTTTTAAAAAGTTTTGATAGGTAAGAGACATTAAAAGTGTCCTACGAGAAAAACAAATTTTACAAGCAATCAAGACAATGAAGTAAACTCCAATACATGCATTTTAAATCCAGGATCAAATGTCTTCCACCACACAAACTCACATCATCATCTCGTCCCAACAAGTCGGTGGAGCCCACTAATTATTCCCAATCTGATCGCAAAGAAGACAAAGAAAGAGCACAGTGGTCTCAGGTGATTGCTGGTTAGTTATTGTTTCGCTTGTCGCATAATTGTTGAGCAATGGAAACTAGTAGCTGTCATTCTCCACCTCCCTCCCTCCCCATCCTCCTTCCTTTCCTTGCCCCTCCCTCCCTCTCCTCCTTTCTCCTTACCTCCCCTGTCCCTTCTCCTTCCTCTCCTCCT